CCCAGGAGTTTGAGGTTGCTGTGAGCTAGGCTGACGCCACGGCACTCTAGCCCGGGCAACACAGCGAGACTCTGTCTCAAAAAAAAAAAGTTCAAAGGACTGAATAGACTTTTCTCCAAAGAACATACACAAATAGTCAATAAGCACATAACAAGATGTTCAACATCACTAATCATTAAGATATGCAAACTAAAACCACAATGAGATACCACTTCACACACATTAGGATGGCTATTATCAAAAAAGAAAATAAGTGTTGGTAATGTTAATGGGAATATATTAATAAATGGCACAGCTGCTATGAAAAACAATATGGCAGGTTCCTCAAAAACTTAAACATAGAAGCCGGGTGTCATGGCACATGCCTGTAGTCCCAGCTACTCGGGAGGCTGAGGCAATAGGATCACTTGAGCCCAGGAGTTTGAGATTGCAGTGAGCTATGATGATGCCACTGCACTCCAGCCTAGGATACAAAGTAAAACTGTGAACTAGCCACAAGTCTTTAAGGGTTCCAAACAGACTTTAATTTTAAAAATGCTAAATTTATGGTAAAACAAAATGTAAAATTTGCCTTTCTAGTGATTTTTCAAATGTACAGTTCAGTGGTATTAATTACACTGACAATGTTGTACAACCATCACCACTATTTCCAAAACTTTTTCATCATGCCAAATAGAAACACTGTATCCATTTCCCCTTCCCCTCAGCCTTGGGTAACCTCTATTCTACTTCCTGATTCTACAAATTTGTCTATTGTAGATATTTCATATAAGTGGAATCATATTGATATGATTATATGTAAAATAACCTTTTCTGTCTGCCTTATTTTACTCAGCATAATGTTTTCAAGGTTTATTCATGCTGTAGCACGTATCAGAACTTCATTCTCTTCTAGCCTGCACAGTTCATCTGAAGACACAATAAAAAAAAAACCTTCATTTCCTTTTATGGCTGAAAAATATTCATATTCATACACACACATACAGACATTTCACATTTTGCTTTGTATCCATTCATCTTCTGCTGGACATTTGGGTTGTTTCCACCTTTTGGCTCTTGTGAATAATGCTGCTATGAACAATGGCATGAGAGTACCAAGTTGATTTTATTAAAAGGGAAAGCCAGCAGAGGAACTATAAAGGAAAACAGTAACAGAAGCTGCCAAAAGCAATTACCACAACAAAATTCAATAGAATTTAAGACATCAATTTTACAGTTTTAATATTACTTATACTTCTGATTTTTCCCAATTTTCCTAAACAAATATGTATTTTTATATTTGCATAAATGAGGGGAAATTGAGTCCTTTGTCATTACAGGATAAATATGTTCTAATCTGAAAAAATACACAATAAGGAAATAAAAGGGGGAAGGCAACACAATGTTGAAGTAAAACATTAAGAGATCATTACTAAGGTCAGGACTGCAGGTTAGCAGCACTACTGAAAAGGGAGCAGAGTTGAAGCCTGAAAGTATCTTGTTTTTTCTGTTCTGAACAAAGAGTAAGTACTAGTTTGCCCTCCATACACCTAGCACAGTATACACTAGACACTCAACAACAAAAGCTGGCAGAAAGAATGAATGGATGGATAATTCTATAGATCTCTAAACTCTGTAGC